ACCTTTTCATTAGCGCTGGGGCCCCTCCCGGCAGGAACAAAGGCTGAGGCTGGAATGCCGCTGTTTCCCGGCCACGGGCCATTGTCCCACGCCCGCCCCTGGGATTGTCCTGTGCAGGAAAGAGCGGGGCTCTGGGTCACGCTGGTTTGCCCACCCTCCCCCCTTTTCTGGAAAGCCATCTCAGCTGCAGTCCTGCCCTGCAAGGCCCTCCCACCTCAGTCCTGCACCCCCACCAGTTTGGGTGGGCAAGGGCTTGGCCTAGAGGCTCTGAGTGACTTCAGTCTGGGCTGCCACGCTGGGGCAGCATGGCAGGGCTCCCCAGAGGTCAGCAGAGAGAGGCTGAATCCTCAGAGAGAGGCTTGAGAGGGAGGGTCCCCTGCGGAGGAGGGAACAGGCCCTGCCCACACAGTCCCGGGGGCCAGCGGCGGGGCCTACGTCCTGCGGGGGCCCCCAGGCTGTCAAGGCCCAGCTGCCTCCCCTGTGCCCCGAAAGCCCACCGCTCAGAAGGCTGGGGCTGGCGCTTGGGCTCGGCGCTCGGCCCACCTATGTGGGCCGAGACCGGCCCCTTGCCTGTGAGGCTGCCGGCACAGCCTCCGCCCAGCGGCGCCTCGGCACTGCCCGAGCCACGGGAGAAGGAGCCGTCCGGCCGTGCCTCTGGGCCTGCGCTCACCAGGCTGCGCCACGCCACGGCCCCCCGCCACCTCGGGTGCCCGGCTTCCCAGTTGTGAGGTTTGGGGAAGAAGAACTTGTCATCTGTCACAAACCATGAGTAAGTGGAGCCCACAGGCAGCTGAAACCACTGCGGACTTCCCCTCCACTGTGAATGAATGTCTTTATTATCTTTATGACCAAGCACCTTTGCCTGGAAATGGGATTCTGACTTCATAGAAATTCTGCAAAGGGAGAGATTAGGAAAAAGCGGGAATCTCCTAGCTCCCTCAATCCGGCCGCCGGCAGGAGGGGAGGTGGCGAAGGGCAGTGACCGGGTCTGCCCCTGGGCATCCTGGAGTGTGCTGCGGGGTTGGCGGGGCCTCTCCCCTGCTTTGCCAGCAAGGTCTGAGTCCTCCTGCCCTTTGTCAGCAAGGCCAGTCGCCTCCACCAGGCCCTGCATAGACTCCGTGTCCTCCCTTCTCGGAGGGCTCCCGAGCCCTGCAGAGAGAAAGCAAGCGTGGCTCTGGAAGAACACAGCCCAGGGGACCTAAGTGATGCAAACAGAAACCACAGTCCCCTGCCCAAACATTCACCGAGCGCTTTCCATGAGGCACATTCCAAGAGAACAAAGAAAAACTCCGAAAGGTTCTCACTGGCCAAGCAGGCAGAGGGTGCTGTCAACAGGCAAAGCCACCTGGGAAGTTTAGACTACGTCTTGGCCACGTTGTAAGGAAAAGTCAAAGTTAGCCCACGATATGGCAGGTGGGCTCACCAAGCAAACACGGCGAGGGGGGTGTCGGACACCCCAGGGCTCCCTAGCGCTGAAGCATGAGGTGCCCTGCTGACGAAGCTGAGAGGGATCAGAGTCTCAGACACACACGGGTGTTTGAGTCATCCCAAAGGCAATGGGAAACCCCTGGAGATCATAGAAAGCCAAAGGGAAAGTCAGTGGCTTTCTGAACCGTTCGAGGACGAGCGCTTTGGGGAACGGTCTCCAGCTCTCCCGAACGGAGCCAGTCCTGTCTCCCCATGCCCGGTAGCTCAGCTCTCCCGGTCTCTCTCTCCCCAGACACGCCAGTGCTTCCGAAATGACGCTGACATGCACCGAGCACAGAAGCACTATTCCAAGCATGATGCATGCATTTGCTCATTTATTCCCCACAACGACCAGGAGTGGCAGGTCCTCCCGTCAGCCCATCTTACAACCCAGGACACTGAGGCGCAGCCCGGGACGCCAGTCGCCCGAAGCCACCCAGCTGCCGGGCAGTCGAGTCGGGGTAGCCGCCCAGCCTTCTGAGCGGGTGCGGGAGCCCCCTTCCCGTGGGCTGTCAGGGTCCTGGGCTGCCCCTGCCCCTCTCCGCTGCTCTTCACACCCGCCTTCACCCTAAACTTCTAAGGTCCGCGCAGCCTTTGCTGCCGGGCAGGGCCCAGGGCCTGAGAGACCGTGATGTTGCTCCCCGGGGGGCTGGGGTCGGCCGGGGCGGCTGCTCCTGTCTTCCCGCAGGATTCTCCCAGCGTTCCTGTCTTCCCAGCACTTGCTTGGCAAGGCGGGCACTGAGTGAGGGCTGCGGCGTTTGAATGAGCCTCCCTGTGTCAGAGCACTGTAATTTACAAAGCACTTTCTCATCCATTAACTGGAGGGCGATTCCTTGGGAGCCTTCCTTGTGCTCCTGGAGCGGCTATGGTCACGGTGCATTCTCCTAATAATCAATGGAAGGAGGAAGAATGAGCTCCTGATCACAGGGAGGAGACTCCTTTTCATTGTTCTGCGAGCGTCTTGAGGGCAAAGCCTGGGTTTTACTCATCAGTCAGCTGCAGCGGCCGCACAATGCTGGCCGCAGAGCCCGTCTGTGGAGGGCGTTGAAGAACCCGGTTTCCCCTTCCGCGGAGGTAACTGGAAGGCTTCCTCCTTGCATTGCTTGCGTGGTAGAATCCGAAGGGAGAACTGGGCTAAATTACATCACACGTTTACGAGCAGAAGAATCTGTTTTTTTTTTTTTTTAAATCTCAGATCTCTGACGGGAAAGAGTTATTAGTCCAGGTTTACAGATGGTCAAACTGAATCCCCGAGAGGCCGGGTGTCCCGCCCAAATCTCAGTTCTTGAGAGACGTCCGTGGCCGTGAGAGCCACTGGCGCTAGTGGGAGGCACAGGGCCCCCTCTCGGCTGGCCAGGAGCAGCGGGGGGCCGTGGCCTCAGCCCCTGCGGTGCACCCCAGCAGGGCTCGCAGGCTCCAGGGGCCCTTTGGGGAGCGTTTGCAGGCCTTGCCAAGCCACCCAGTGACCACAAGAAAGTCCATTGGTCAGTCACCCCATCAACTGCTCTCCTCCAGGGGGCAGGTGCCCCCCTTCCCCGCCGCCCCCCATTCAGACCTAAAGAAGGAAGCACTTTCAGGCTGAGCTGCGCCCGGTGCGGGTGCTGAACTCCCAACTAGGCTTTCTGGAACTCCTTCTCTGCTGGGCTTCCCTTGCCAGGTCGAATTCCAGCCCGGGACGCGGAGTCTCCTCTTCCCAGCCGGCCGGAGCTCCCGGCCAGCCAGCTAAACCCTCTCGGGTTCCATCCCAGCCCACGCGGAGCGACTCCAGAGCCCTCGCCACTCCGGGCACGCCGGGCGCCCTCTAGCGGGCCGGGGCGCGGGTGGCGCCG